TGGCTATAATGTGTCTTGGAGAAGATCTTCTTGGGCTGATTCTATTTGGGGTCCTTTGAATTTCTTGGGACTGGATCTTTGAGTGCCTCTCTAGGTTTGGAAAGTTTTCTTGCAGGATTTCATGGAAGAGATTATCAATGCCCTTATGAGTCTCTTTGCCTTTTGGGATGCTAATTATCTGGATGTTTGGATGTTTCATGGTATCTAGTACTTCTCGTATATTATTCTCAAATTTTTGGGCCATTTTCTCAGTCTTTGTGGTAGATTTTTCTAGGTCAGCAATTTTCTCTTCTACATCTGAGATTCTATTTTCTGTATGATCTAGTCTGCTTTTAATACTTTCAAGGGAGATTTTGACTTCCTGTATTATAGCCTTCATCTCTAACAGTTCCACTTGATTCTTTTGTAAAATGTGTAGTTCCTCTTTCAGATCTTGCAAGAATTCCCTCACCTCTTGGAACTCGTCAGCTCCTTTCTCCTTTCTCTTCTGCAGTTCATTGTCTCTCTTCTCTTCCATCTCTGTTAGCTTCGCCATGATGAATGTTCTAAATTCTTTATCAGACATTTCCATGATTTCCATTGAACTGTCTGTGGGTAAAGAGGGATTGTTCCTTTCCCTTGGAGGAGAGGTATTTTCTTGCTTTCCCATATTTCTTGTGGCCCTGTGGTGATTTCTAGTCATCTGATGGATGGTGTGTTTCTTCCCACACTTGAAGTTCAATCTTCTTTAGGTCCCTGGAGTCTCTTTCTTGCTCTTCACTTGGCGGGGTCCTTCTTTTTCAGATCTCATCTGAAAGTCACCTCCTCAGAGAACTTCTTCCCTAAGTAACTTTTGAATGACGCTGCTTCTGACAGCTCATGTGTGCCTTTTGAGTTATTACATAGAGTTCAACAGAAATAAGATGGTGTCTTCTCTCTCAGAAATCTCCAGTCCAGACTCCTTTGCTGGGTTTTATAAAAAGTTTTTTCCGGGAACCAGCAGTTAGCGTAATGGCTATGTGGCTGGACTCCCACGTAGTCGACCGCGGTTCGCATCCTGGACCCAGTGCCTTAAAACTCACGCCAGGCGCGTGTGCGTGCGTGCCCAAGATCCCAAGAGGAGAATGGAGGAGAAGGGATTGCAGCATGACCATCCCCCCTGGGGGTGATTTCTCACTTTCTGTCTCTATGTCTCTCTCTGTCTGTCTGGCGAGCGCACGCACCCTGTAGTGAAAATCTCTCCCCAAAAAAAAAAAATGTTTTTGCCATAGGATGTGTGCACTTGCTAGAGAGAGACAAAGAGAGAGATCACCCCCAGGAGAGATGGCCACAGCACAATCCCTTCTCCCTCATTCTCATCTCGGGATTTGGGGCACACATGCACATGTGCCCAGAGTGATTTTCAAGCTGCCAGGTCTGAGACTCAAACTACAGTTGGCCCTGTGGCAGTCCAGCACCTTAACCTCTATTCCACCTGCTAGCCTCTCATTTGTGTTTAAAAGAAGAGAAATACATTGTCATTCCACTTGTATATGCATTAAAAAGTCTTCAAAAGGATACAGGATAAGTTAATACCTACAGGGGAATGGGAAAGAGGAGTAGAAAGGATTGCCATGTGTATCAAATATATTTTTTGAACCATGGATGTACTAAATATACACTTTTTGATTCTGTAAAAGACTAAAATGTTATATGTAAAACCGTGACTGGGTATGCTTAACTATTAAGATAGAGGGAATTGGGACCAGCAGTTGGCCTACTGGCTATGTCGCTGGACTCCCATGTAGTCAACCACAGTTTGAATCCCAGACCCAGTGGCTTAAAACTCACGCTGGGCGCGTGTGCGTACGTGCCCAAGATCCCGAGAGAAGAATGGAGGAGAAGGGATTGCGGCGTGACCATCCCCCCTGGGGGGTGATTTCTTGCTTTCTGTCTCGCTCTGTCTTTCTGGCAAGTGCACGCTCCCTGTAGCAAAAAACCTCAAAAAAAAAAAAAAAAAAAGAGGGAATGTAGACTTCGTTTTCTTTTCATCAAAGGGTTTTTAAGCATTGTAGATTTTTAGACCATAATAAATGAAAGAGAGAAAATTAAGTCAAACAAGAGAATTTGATAGACTTTCTCTAAGGGCCCTTCCTGATGAAGGTGTGACGCAGGGAGGTACTTCCTTACAGGTCCACTCTAACGCCCCTCACTGCCTCTCCTGCAGTCCCCTCTGATTCACAGGCAATGACCACCTGATAAACCAGCCTAGTGACATCTGGCCCCAGGCCTAGGAAGCTTTCAAAGCACAGTGTTCCCAACCAGACCCAGGGTGGATTCCTGCCTCTATGGGAATTTAATTGTGCACTTTCACCAGGAAACCCACCCACCCTGGAGGGGGGAAGGTCAGTGAAATTTAGGGAAGACTCTGAACCAAAGGAACCCAGCAGGCATCTGAGCATGTGCCAGGAGGGACTGTCACCTGTGCAGGGCTCCAGGGCTCAGGCTCATCCTTACCTTGCACCTCGACACATTCTGCCTGGCTGAAGGGACTGTGTTTCCCAATGGCCTTCACCAAAGCCTGGACCTTCACACAGTACACGACTCCTGGCTCCATGGTTTCCAGGTGCACTGGAATGCCCACATGCGTCACCACTTTGACGTGTTCCTAGGGAGCCCAGAAAACAGTCACTCCTTGAGAGCAGCAGGTCTGGAATGGGTAAGACGGGTCAGACAGGGGAGCTACAGACACTGCCTTCCAGTCGCATGCAGGATACTTCCTCTCGTGGGTGCGCGCATGCATTCTCCACCCGTATTTATCAAGCACCTCCTGGGTGCCAGGCACCACTCTCACGGGGCTCGCGTGGGGAGGCAGACTATGCACAAATCACTGTGAGGTGGTGATCAGGCCCTGAAGAGAAGAGCAGGGCCAAGAGGGGGAGAGCGGCATGGAGGCAGTGGCTTAGACGGTTGATTGGAGAAGCCCTGTCTGTGACCTCCCCTGCCTCTCATGGCCTCTCAGGCCCGGCTCTCCTCCTTCTTCCCTTCTCCCTACTCCTTGCTCTCGACATTCAGTTTCCCAAGACCAAGTCCCTAAGGAGAAGACTCTGATAGGCTTTGCTCATCTTACCTGGCCAAGCTGCAGAGGTTGCAGTAGCCACCTGGCCGCGGACTGGCCCTGACCTCAGAGCAGTGTCTGAGGGCGGGGTATCCTCACCCCCGCAGTGGACAGGGGCTGTAGGCTGGGCAGCTTCCTCCAGGCACAGGCTGAAGGTTGGAAATCTGACTGGGCAGGGGCATGGCACCGGCACAGCTGCCAGGGTCGGGGCACAGGATCAGTAGGGCTGGTGGGCAGCACCTCCTCACTCATCCACTCGCCCCCCATCTGTCCATCCACCTGCCCACCCCGCCACCTCCACCACTCCGCCCAAGGCCTGTGCTCACGTCTGATCCAGTGGAAGCCTGTCTAGGCCAAGCCCAGGTGACTCAGGGCCCACATTCCTCTCTTGCCTCCGGCCCTGCCAGTCACCAAGGGCGGGGAGTGGGCTCCATCCTGAAGAACCTGAAGGAGCTACACGTTCCCTCCACCCAGACCCTGGCTTGCCCCTGCACCACTCCACATGCCTGGTCAGCAATGCCATGTCCCACTGGGGGGCCAGACCCAGCAGGAGTATCAGAACCCAGGGCCTCACCTGCTCCACCTGGCCACACCACCACCCAGAGGAAGCTGCCCAGCCTACAGCCCCTGTCCACTGCGGGGGTGAGGGTACCCCGCCCTCAGACACTGCTCTGAGGTCAGGGCCAGTCTGCGGCCAGGTGGCTACTGCAACCTTAGCAGCTTGGCCAGGTAAGATGAGCAAAGCCTATCAGAGTCCTCTCCTTAGGGACTTGGTCTTGGGAAACTGAATGTCGAGAGCAAGGAGTAGGGAGAAGGGAAGAAGGAGGAGAGCCGGGCCTGAGAGGCCATGAGAGGCAGGGGAGGTCACAGACAGGGCTTCTCCAATCAACCGTCTAAGCCACTGCCTCCCTGCCGCTCCCCCCCC